TCGAGGCAGCTTTTTAATTTCAGTTCCATCCCAACCTCCAAGAAACTTCAGTGTTATCGTAAGCTCGTCCGCGAGTGTTACAGCATCCTGGAAGCTACCTTCTGATCAATCCAGGAATGGAATTGTCCTAGGATTCAAATTATACTACAAAAAGACAGGCTCCAGCGGGTTACCAAACACTTTAACCATTAGGAATGAGTCGGTTGGTACTGTAGTTGTCACTGGATTAGACAAGTACACAGAATATGAATTCCAAGTGTTGGCCTTCACTTCAGTTGGTGATGGACCAAAGAGTTCGGCTGAAGTCGCGAGAACGAAGGAAGATGGTAAGAAATGTAAACTAATAAGGTCTTAGCTATAAAAGTAATCCTATCTACAATGCTTGCCCGGCCAACGTTATCTACAACACCTATGTTACTAGAATAACCAACTTTAACATAATATTGGAGCTAAATCTTTTTCTTATAAATTATCAGTAACGATAATATTGCATGAAGGATCATAATTTGTGGTGTGAATCTAATTAGGTTACATAAGGACTTCTTCGTTTAACTGCAGTTCCTTCGAAAGCCCCAAGTAACTTCTCAGTGACGGCGAACAACTCTACCAGTATTACAGCATCTTGGCAGTTACCACCAGCAGACTCCAGAAATGGAGTCATCACAGGATTCAAATTGTTCTTCAAAGAGAGAGGTTCAGCAGGATTACCAGCCGCTTTAACTATGAGCAACGGACAAATTCGTTTTAAACATGTGACTGGGCTTGACAAATACTCCGAATATGAATTTCAAGTGTTAGCCTTCACTTCTACAGGTGATGGACCAAGGAGTGCTGTTGCTGTCGAGAGGACAATGGAAGATGGTAGCGTTATTCCTCCTGCCTATTGTTTTTAACAAATTTACATATTAAGTTCAACCTAAACAATCCTCAAAATGTTAACAGAATTATATGACCAACCCTCTTTTATTTCTTGATGCGTAGCACTGTCAGCTAGTTGTAACTAACTTTTCATCCATAATTACCGAGTGTTGCTTAATTACAGTTCTTTATAGACTGACACTTACCTAGAAAACACCAAAGATGTAATCTTTATTTTAAAGGCTTAACTTTCCAAAAAAATTTATACTTTGTTAGGATGATATGAAGTTATCCAAATAGCTTTTTAATTTCAGTTCCATCCCAGCCTCCAAGAAATTTCAGTGTGACCGTTAGCTCGTCGACGAGTGTTAC